CTCTTCGAAACATGTTTTTCTTTCAGAATAGATATGCAGTGAAGGTTAAAGGGGTTAACAAGGCTGATTCTCAAGCTCAGGCAGGCATTGTACGGTAATTTTGTTAATTTTTTAGGCTGAACCACAATGCTGTTAAATCTAAGGAGTGTGAATAATGTATTTCTTCACACATGAAAGAGCTTCACAGGGATGAGCTCAGTTAAATGAAGGTAGGAGCAAACATCTTAATTTTCAGCCAACAGTACAGCATTCTTGTACAGCATTCTGCCGTTGACTGAATCCCAGTAACTTTACATTCTCAAACTATGAGGGAAATTTCAATGTGCTTATATGTTTTCTACTAGGTTTGCATTCTTCTAAACATCAACATGGAAGTTTCAAGGGTTTCCATTGCTCCAATACAGGAGTAGCATACATCCCAACTTAACAGAGTGAAAATGTTTGCCTTCACATCGACTATCAAGTCAGAAGTCAACGCAGACTTTCAAGCAAAATGTGCTTGAGCCATCAGCCATTTAAAAAGAGCAAAATTACTTAAAGTCATTGTATGAAAAAGACAGTAAGACATACCTTGAAGTCTAATCTCAGATTTTCAGCTGAAAGAAATAATCACTTCTTTTTTAACAATTGCTAAGATTTAAATATGATATTAATTCCTAGACCAGTACAACCAGATATCTCCTTATAGCCTCTTCTACATGTGATGTTATGTGTTTGGTTTGTTCCTTGTAGTGCCAAACTTCTTTTTTAGAGTTATGTTCCTTGTTTTAACATCATGTTTTGCCCTGCAAAAGTGGTAGCGAGCAATACCACCTAAAGCCCTTTGCATTCTAAGTAATCCTGGTATTTCAGGTACTCAAGCCTTCCTCCCTCAGATGAATGCTCTCATCTTTAGGCTGGAGAGCTGTATTATTTCTCTTGCTAATGAAGTAAATTCCAGTGGCTGAGCTTCAACTAGAGGAGGAAAGTGTGTTGCAGTGTCTTAATACTGTCCCAAACATCTCACAGATAGGTCATCAGGGCGGTCTTCTGCATGTGGCAGATGCAGGGCTGAGGTACTAAACTGCAGCTCTACCACAATCTCAGAACTACTGTTTAAAAAGGGGTTGAAAAGCAGCTTCTCTGCCAGCTGTGTTTGAAAAGAAAAGGAGCCGACCTTTTCCTGCTTTAGTGACACTTTTGAAAGGCATCTTTTGCAAGGACCCCTAACTGTATGATCACCATTTACACATTCGTTTGATATAGGTATCTTTCTACCTGTAGTGCTGGACCCTAAAAGGGCCCACTCTCTCTTCGCAGTCTCATGTTAAGAGGCTCTTCACTCAGCATAGTGGCTGCCACCAACTTCATTTAGAGGTTCCCAAATCCCCTCATAGGAAGGTAATTCCAAGCGTCTGATTCTGCCCTGTAACCCAGGCATCTAAAAATGAAGCACTGCAACACCTAAGTCACTTTAGAAATTCAAGCCTTCAAGACTCTCAGGTGACTTCCACTTTCATGCATGGAGACTAATGTTGCAGATCACATATATGGGTTTTTTTACTAATTCCATAAGAAAATCTGCAGTGCTACAGTTGGAAATCTAATGGCTTTTTTCAAATAGTGCTGGAAACACAAAGAGGACCTCTGGCTTTGTGCTATGAATGACCATTATTTTACTTGGTGAACAGTGGCAAATTATTTGCACAGTAAAGAACATGTAATTACAAAGTACAAACAGTAACTGATTATTATGATTATTCCCATCCCCTACAGTGAAGAGTAGATGGTAATTAATTTCTGGACCTACCAGACTAAATATAATTACTAGAAACCACAGCAACTGTAGGCATATGCTGGTAAAACAGAGTTAGATGTTACTGTATTTATTTATTACCCAAGACTTTATCCATAATTAAATGCTACAAGTAAAACAGAAAAAATATTTCAAAAGAACTTCTAAAAAGCCATAGACTAAAAATGTGGCTAAAAAGTTGTGAATCTTAGCATTTGTACATGTGGTATTCAGTACCACATATTAATTTAATATTACCCTAACTTTATATTGATTAGAATCTTGGAACACAAGCCTAATTCCTTCATCTCATTTTGGGGTCTACTGCTTCGAAGAATTTGTGTTCCTTCCAATATGCACTGCTTGTGAATTAGCTCACTGTACGAAACATCTCATTTTCCAGAATAAGTTTTTTGGGAGGGGATGGGTGGAAAGGTTGCAAATTAGCTTTTATTTTTACTCTCATAGTCAAACTCAACTTACACCTGTATATAAAAATATCTCTGAGCTCTCTGGAACTCTGTCTTCGTGCTCTGGCTATGCAAACTCACCAAGACCAGGCTTTCTGCAACGCATCAGTCAATCTCTTTGTTCTGTTTCAGAAGAGGGAAGGGCATCTACAAGAACTTTTGGAGTAGTTTTCAGCAGATACAAATTTAATCATTGTTGATAAGGAGTGGAACAGGCAAAGATACATATAGTTTCTGTACCTGTCACCAGCTTTCCTCACCAGGAGTTGTCAGATAATTCTGGAGAAAGATGAGCAGCATGAATTTCCCCTTCTTTGTGAGGAAACAAGCTCTGAGGATGCCTACAGATTCTGAGGTGGCTGTCTGCAGCACATTGACAAACAGCTGTTAAGGGCATCAAACTAAGCAAAACACTTGACTGACGAGAAAGAACACAAAATGGCACATGTTGGTTGTGCTTTCTGCATGTATCTTGTACTTACCTGCTTGCCCTTTGCACTTGAGCTAGCTATTGTCTCTGAAGTGCTAAAAGAGGCAGAGGCACGACTCTAACACCATGTTAGTTAAATTCTTACTGTAGAATCATCATCATATTCTTGGTGGAAAAGCAGGGAAAACAGACCCTACTTTATTTTCAGGTTTCAGTCTGAGTTGGTTTAAACAGAGCAAAGGAGATATGGGGTACCTCTGATGCAGCAGGACTCTGAACATTTCTGAGAAAACATCGACAGACCCTAACGACTGTTGTTACTGTGAAACACAAGCTGATTTTGTCTCCCAAGCTGCTATTACTAGTAGCCTTTGCAATGTCTTTTCAATGTAAGTAGATATGAAATGAGTCTGCTTCTATGTTAGTTCCATTCAGTATGTGACACTGCTCTGAGAATAGCAACTGGTAAATTCTGGGGTGGGGAACTGAACAAATCCTATAATCTTAAGAAATAAATAAAAACGTGTCTCTGTCTTCTCTGCAAGTTATACCCCTATTTATCAGCTGACTGTCAATCTGTATTCTGTAATCACATTATTTGTTGCAGCTATTTTTCAAAACTGTACAGTTCCTTTGGAGAAATGCACTGCTTTAACTTAGGAGCTACTCTCTTCCTCTGCCCTGCTGTGATGCTTTTATCATAATACTCGTCATATGCTGGCAGCCACAATCTTGTGCTCCCACGGATGGCCCCATAGAAAGGCTAAAATGAATCTTCAGATGGCTCCTTAAATTTATTCCTTTCCTCTCTTGCTATTGTTAGTAAAGCAACAAGCTTTTTTTTTTTTTCTCCTAATGTCTCCTTCTTCAGTCCTGTTGGAAAGGATGAAGACACAGGGTAGGAGAAAGCTTTGCAGGGTGACAGCTTTTTAACACTGAATAATCTACTGCTGTGCATGCTAATAGATGGTGCTAAGTTTGATTAACTAATTTTGCAAATTAATATCTAAGTAAATTACTTTTTCAGATTGTTTCCAATGATTCTTTCTCTTTGAATAGTTTTATACTGATTGTTGCTGCTGACGATAAGAATTCATATAAAACCCTGGGGTATGTATTTCATAGTAAATATATCTGGTATCATCTTACACAAGAAAACCCTCCCCCTCACACACATCTTATTTAAAGGTATATAGTCATAGTTTCAAGATAATTTTTTTCAGAAGTTTCAAAGTCATACAGGAACATAATTTCCATTAATGCTCAGTTCATGGCTGGTTTTAAAAGACACTCAGGTACTTACGTAACTGGGTATGCCTGTAAAGGATTTTCAAAGATTACAAAGAGAGACAGACATATTTTAATTGTAAACAAACATGTTACTGGCCCAAGACGTCTTTGAAAAATCCTACATGCCTAAATGTCTATAGAGATCTGATCCTTTTGCAGAGCTAATACAAGATTGGGACTAAAAATGTAAGACTTCTTCTCTTTTTCTTCGTTACTTGAAAGTAAAATATTTTCCTTTTAACCAAAATATCATGTGATGTACTTATGCAAATACTTCTAGACCCACATTCCACATAATCAGAACATACTTAAATATTTGTATTTTCAGTAATTTAACATTTCTTAGATGCTTGCCTTTAAAAGATAAATTTCATACACCATCCACAGCCCGTGTTCCCTTGCCTCAGCTGAATAAACCTGAGCCTGGACAGCCTAACTTGCATATTTGCTGTCAAACCACTACAGTGCTGCTAATGCTCAACACATCAGCTATCATATTATCCCCTCTCTGAAACCTTACATGAGCTTTTCCATGCATTCCTGAATCATATTAATTTCCAAGTCTTCACCCTTAAGTACTTCATAATATTTCCCTCAAATACATTGTTTTGTCTCCTTTCTTACTTCTCAGTCCTTCTGCCTCTAACCTCTCTCACTTCTTAATCACTTAGCACCTTCTGCTCTCTTGCCCTGACACAGGTGTCTGCCAATGCGGTGTTCACTGATTTCTTCCTTTAAACCCCTCCTTAAAACCCATCTTCTCGCCTTCTAGCATATAATTATCTGACAGCAATTTACCAGGAGTGGGCAGTGGCTACATGGGTGTCCCCTCCACCCACTCATACATGCAAAGTCAAATAATTAATTCTGAAACCCCTCAGACATTTTTAAATGACAGCCAGCAACCTCTGCTTCCTCTCATACCACTCTGCAGAACAGGGCACTGCAGATGGGGATAGGCAGGAGAAGAAGAGCATGCCAGCTCTATTGCCTCTGAGTAGGAGAAATGGAAAATAAACATTTCAGTTCCACTTACCGGTTCCTATTGCTAGAAATCCAATCTGAGATTAACGTTGCAGCCTGCTGGTGACAGTGTTTGTTACCAAAGCTGCAGGCCAACATGATGACTTCCCGACGCAACTCTCTGTCCAAGTTTAAGAAAGCAATAAGGCTGTATTAATGAATGTGTTTGAACGTTTACAAAAGTTATGTCCTATAACAGTGGCAGCAACTGATAGTTGGGCAACATATCAAAGATATCCAGCTATACAAATCTCAGTGTCAGCTTAATGCTTACAGCTGCTGCAACAACTCAAGACAGATTGTGGACCAAAAGCAGTCCCCATTTGCACTTATGCACTCTTCCTGACCTCTGTGGTCACAGGAGTCCAAATTCTTACATATCCAGTGCAGTCAAATTTTAAATTAAGACTTGGGAAATCATGTTCTCCAAACTCAGGAAAGAGGAAATCATCTCACAGCATCTTGCTCCTCTCCCTCTAACACAGAAAGGAAAAGCAGAAGGAAGACAAAGCTGGGAAAGTATGACATGCTATAGATGAAATCAAATTTTAGGAAAGTGCATTATTACAACTATATCCTGCAAACAAACAATAATAATAATAATAAAATAACAGTACTCATGTTGGTAGGATGCTTGAACAAGCGATTTGTTTAAATTATTCATTGGCCATCCAAGCTTGAGATACATTGATGCAACTTGTCTTAAAATATACTCCTGAGGGGGAAAAGAAAAATATATTTAGTGTTAACATTTATTTTTTATTTGAAATTGAAATATTATTGACTATTGAGTTTTTGTCTTTCTTTTTTACCCTCAAATAACGTCCTACTTTCCAAAGATTTTGATTTGCATTTAGCAAAGCAAGATGTCCACATATAATCCTCCTTCTGCTATAGTGAGAAGTAATCTATAAACAGCTATTTGATTAGATGCCTAGGATAAGACAATTTATTGTTATACACCTCATCAATTTAAGAAGAGTTTCTTACATGCTGTTTTGAACTCACAATACATGGCCGAAAAGTTGCAAGAGTGTCAACAGCTTAATTTCTACTCTATGGCCAATCTCGACTACACTCTGCAGTTCACTTTTAAAAGAGTATTTTAATATCCATAGCAACGGCAAATGCGTCAAGTAAGTACAGTCAATTAACTTCAGAATACCAAACAATGTGGCTGCAAATGAGCTTTGTACCTTTAATGACACTGTTTTAAGTTTAGGTTCTTGGTGTGCTTAAAGAACAAAACAAGCCCATGATTATTTTAGCTTACTTTTACTTTCTGCACAGGAGACGTATTTACATATTCTGGCCAGTTGTGAAGAAAACCACTGTCACTGTATTCAGCATAATCTTTTGCCAGTGGAATTTACCAATTTGAAAAAGAGAACTGAGGTATAAAGAACCACATAGGAGAGCATCTATTTTATTATTATGGATGCACGGGCATGTATATATGATGTCAACACAAAAGGGAGATTCATAGTGCAGCTTTCTCTAGCAGATATGTTATTCTGTGACTAAAAAGACTTTTTATTTCCTCTGCTATCACCTCTGCTTTCAAAGCTCTCATCAGTAGTGATAAAACACAACCCAGCCATGAATTTTACTGGTGTTATTTTTTAAAATTGTGTTTTCTTTACACAGCCATGTTCAAAAGTGAAATAGCAATGGCAGACTTGTAAGAATTTTTCTTTGCAGTTAACAACAGACTAAAGATGCAAGTTATTGCCACATCATTTTATATTATGGCTTTGGTTGGCATGTAGGCCCACATTGTAGGTTCATAAAGAAAGAATCTCAATGTAACTTTATTAATCTGTAGTATATGTTCTAGAAAAATAACTTACCATGTCAGCAGGTAGCTCTGTGTATGTATGTGTATATATATGTATGTACTTCTACATATATACATACACCCAGCCACCTCTAGCCTCCTGCTTTCTGAGCATTTTGTCTCTGGACACACACACACACAAGCAAATATATGTTTAAGAAGAAAAAAGCACCTTTAAGCATTTCAGGCTTTAGAGAGTTCCTTCATTTGAAGGCTTTATGAAATTACATAAAATTACAGTATGTTGGCCATTGAAAATATGTAAACTATACAAAATTCATAGTGAATAAAAAAACCCAAGAGTTCATAATTGTCACTGGCTGCAATCAAATCCTGTGTACTTCATCAAACATGCTTCAGCGTAGCTAGGAATTTTTTTTTATTTCAGGTAAAATGTTAAATTGTTTGTCATGTCTATCTTAATTATCTACTGCTAGTTGTTACTGCTGTCCCTTTGGACCCAGTTATGAATGGGCTTTTGATTCAATGGTGATCTAATCCTTGTTAATTAAGGTAACTGCATTGAATTCACCATAGCTTTTTGGATGAAATAATGACTACAAATCCTGTTCAGTTGTGCCTGCATTTGGTGTCCTTGGGCATCAATCTAAGTATCACTGTGGGGCTCCTCAAAAGAGAAAATCTGGAAATAGATTACTTTGGCTCTTTTAAGTGAAATACTTTATTTGTCATAATATTTTATAAGAGGGATAATTACCTTTCCTTCTACTAATCATATATGCCTCAAACAACAGTTCTCACTGTTCAAATGCAAATGAACCAAAGCTTGACAATTGCTACCTTTAAATAAAGAATAATTAGGAAGAAAGCTAATATCCCTAGGTCATTTACAGTATCTGTGTTTAAATAAAGAATAATTAGGAAGACAACTAATATCCCTAGGTCATTTACAGTATCTGACTGGGGAATAGTTCAACTCTTGGCAATGAAAGGAGAGAGAGTGAGAGAAGGGGAGGCGGGGGGAGAGAGAGGAAGAGAGGAAGATTGTATCTCTTACATTGAAGATGTTGTAGTTTTCTGTGCGGTCCAGCAATTTATCTAGAGGATAAAGGGCTCGGCTGGCAGCATGCCAAGGCAGAAAATCCTTCTCCTCTGAAAGATATCTGATAATCTCCAAAGGAATATTCTGAGGCAAATAACCAGCTCTGCAAAATAAAAGAAGTTAGTATTAAATTGTTTTTGCAGAAGATACATGATGAGGCAAAAACTTTTTCTTTTCCAAATGAAATTAAAAGGCAGAAAAACATGATAAACTCATCACATTATATGACATAAAAGTCAACCTCACAAAAACCAGCAACTCACAGTCTCTCCCAACACATGTGCAAGCATCCTTACTGCATGAAGGAAGGCATGAAGACACATGAAAGAAAACTAGGCAAGCTATACCTACTTTTTATGGATTCCTGTGGCTATAAAAGACATGAACAATGAAGTAACTGAGTAACTGACTTTAAGCAAAAAAAACAAAAGGAAGGTGCTGCTTTGCTGATTTGTAAGATAGAAAGCTGTCTCATAAAATCAACAACCCAAGGCATTTTGCTTCAGAGAACATTTCTACTGGCCATGGGCAATTGGGAAGAACTAATGGAGAAGCAGCATCCTTTAGTTTCACGGTTCTCCTCCCCACTCTTTTCTCTCTCCTTTAGAACTGCCTTGCCTTCTATCCACCTGAAGCCATTTTGGAATGACTTATTTTATTAAACTAAAGTGGCATTCAGTGACATCACTTTGATTAAGGATGTTTCACCACTTTGCATATAAACTATGTTTTTTTCAGGTGTTTATAAATCAATCAGCTAGAATTTTGCCCCATTCTTTTACAGTCATAAAGGACCTCTCCCTGCAACGGAAAGACTTTAGCGGGGTTTCAGCTATTAAATTAATAGCTTTACAAGTAAAGTGCAATACAGACAAAGCATTTGAAAGTTGGTTTTTAAAACTGAGTACTAGAAACATCAAGCTTTACGATTTGCACTCATTTTCTTTTTCAAAACAACATTTTTTCTTAACTATCCAGACTGCAGAAACAAAGTGTAACCCTGTGGATGTGAACTTTCCAGAAACACACAGGTCTATTCTTCTCCTGATGCACGTGTTTAAATCCCGAAGGAGTTCTCTACCTGCCTAGAGAGGAGATAATGATTCTGTTTTCATTAAACACTTAAAGTCAGCAAGCTGGATTCCGCAAGCTTCAATTTAACATAGGCTACAGTACGATACATCTTCACAGGCTATTTTTCCTCCTTCTTGGTTACAAATATTCCCCTTAATTTCCATCACTGTCTGGGGAAGAGATGCATGCATATAGCGAACAAAGAAAATTACACAGATTATTATGGAAATGAACCAATACATACATGTTGATATAAATGTTGATCTCAGTTGTAACAGCATATAAAAACTACTTTGCTAAAATATTTGAAATAGATTGTTCTTTTTGGTACGATCCAAACCCATAGTTTCCTTGCGAGGTGCACCACATCCTTGCAAGCCATTGTTTTTCACACTCTCTATTGGAAGAATTACACCCTGTTCCCCTCATGTTCTCGGGAAAGAAGTGAGTTCATGTAACAGCTTTCACAAGTATCTATCCCATGTCTTTATGATGACCCACTCTCCAGTCTGCTTCATGTCATCTTTGTCCACATTTTGTCAGCAAGGCTCTGTTCTCAACTCCACTTACAGCACATAGTCAAGCACAAAAAACAAGATCACTTGCGGAGCTCACTGTGTCACTCAGGAACTGAGCAGATACGAAATGAGAATGGTGGTGCTCTTAGAGTGCATGGTGGACAGAATTCAATGCATCTGAAGACAGACAAAGTAAGCTAACTATAAAACACTCCATTTTATAGGTCTTTCTTATTTCTGAAGCAGCATGGTATCATCCAGATGAGTTCTAGGTCTTAATACTTTGTAAAGATTTGTAACCATAATTAATAGAGCCAGAAGCAAGCTGGATTGACTGCAGTTAAAAATCTTAGAGATAATGTTAGCAAAGAGGTAAACTAGCTTGCAGTTGCATATATGTAATTAGTTCCTAATGGGATTTGTGATTATTGTTACTGATAATTTGATTGACATGAGAAAGTGTGGAATAAGGAACAAGAGGAATAGCTCTAGGAAACAGGCTGCTTAAGGAATAAACAGACGAATGTTTATTATAGCTGCACTAATGGACATTTAGGAGCATGCTTCTGAAATTAAATCTCTCTATGCTAAGTGCAAAAGGGAAATCATCACTGGAAAACAAACAGATTATTTCTTTTTAAGCTTAACTTCTCCATAAAGACACATAAGAAGTGAACTCAGAGAGATCTATCACTTATTCCTGAGCTTTTGGCCTTCCTAATCAGTTTCAAAATCGTGATTCTTAGCTGATGATACTCATCCTGTTCACAACAGAAACTGTTACTCTCATCACTCACTGCTTTTAACTTCTAAAGTTATCAGCCCATTCAATTCTGCCTGCCTCTTCCCCATCCCCCACTTTTCCTAATGTTTCCCTAAGTGTATATTCCTTCTCACAAAAACACATTGTGGCACAGTCTGAGTTTTTCCTGTTTACTCCAGAACTTCCTTCTCTTTCTGGGTATGACCCTTGAAGAGCTTATGCACAGTATCATCAAAATTAACCCCCCACATCAACAGAATCAGACCTGAGAGCAGGGATGGACATGAGGGGAGGTCCTTGTGGATGACATAATTCTATAAACGACAACAAATCCATCACTTCAGATCATGATTTTGAGGGAAAGTGGTTATGGCTGGTACGATCAATGTTAAACTCCCTTTCAGCACACATTGGGCAGATGTGCTTAAAGTACAGCTGCTGGGCTGGACCTCTGAGAGAACTTGAGCAGAGACATATTTAAAATTCTCTTACAGTGGCAGCTAAAATAGGAGCACTTCCCTGGAGAAAACAGAAGTGCTTCAGGAACTTTACCTTGGCAGAATGTTCTATATATTCTACACTATTTTATTGTATGGATGCCTACAGAACACCATGATAGCCCTATTCTTTCACCCTCAGCCACTAAGACATATTTATGAACCTCTTATTCCAAATACACTGCACTCCCAGACTATTTGCTGTTAAATACTTTCTGTCAAGAAGTAGTGATAAACGCATTCATTGTTTTACCTTTTTGTGTAAAATGTGGTACATAATGTATATGTTATAAAATATCAAATGTATACTACAGCTTAAAAAGCTTGAGGAATATTTTCATCCACAAAGAAAGGAAAGAGTTTGATAATGGTAATGCCAAATACTAAGGTTGCTAATTTTTGGCATTCATAGCTGATAAAACAACACATAAGGAGAAGCTCTCATCCTAAACCACACAAGAGAGAAACCATGAACCATAAGACCACGTATGGATAAAAAGTCCTAAAATCCAGATCACAGATCTAGGAACTCTGTAAATTGTCCTGGGAGGTAGCATGACTATCCAGGCCAGCAGAAGACAGAAACCAGCCAAAGCACCATGTCTGTGTGGTGAGCTATGCTCTAGTATTCTGCATCTTCACAAAGCACAGCAGCTGCTTTCTTAAGCTTTGTATTTTAGTACAATCGTATTCTTTTACTTTGCACTAAAAGCTTGTCCAGCCCTAAGAATGATTTCAAGACTCCTCCTTCCCAGGGGATACTGCATCCAGCAAGATGTACTGGCTCACTTGAACAGTGGCAAACTCACTCACCAGCCAAAGGCTGCTGGCGTGCTTCTAGGATTCTCCTTCACTAGCCTGGAAGAACTAGGTTCAAAGATGGTTACACAGGATCTGGTCAGCAAAAGCAAAATTTTTGCATCCAGCAAAGTAGGAAGGAATGGTCAAAGACCCACGAGTGTCACAGGACTTGTGACAAACATACACCACCAGCTGGTGACAACTGCTAATTGAAATCACTTGTGTCATTTATGGAGCAGGATAATAACCAAGATGAGGAAAGAAGGCAGAACAAAGAATGAGTCTGTTCTGAATATCTCTGTAAACTGATGGAAGAACAGACCTGCAGAAATGTTAAACAGAAATATTTAACAATTATCATTACAAGAGTAAGAAAAGTAACAGTAGCAACCTTCCCATCAAAGGCAAAAACGTAAAATAATTTCCCTGTCATATAATTGTCTGGCAATATTTATTCAAAGGCACTATAGAATATAACATAAGTTAAGTACATACTCTACACATGCAGCTTGATTTATCACTCTCTCTTCCAACAATGTCACTGGAAGGTCAGTGACAGAAATCCTTATTTTTCTTGTGTCTTTTTAGCCATCAATCATATTGCTATCCTTAAAGCCCAGCAAAAGTACTATCAGATATTGCCTGCCAAAGTCCAAATGCATGAGAGCCAGAGCTAAGAGACTAGGTTCTTTTCCAGCTTAACCATCTCAGAGGAAAACTGAAATATTGTCTGTCATTTGGGGAATAACTGATTATGGGCTATACTGAAACCAGGCAACAAACATAAACACCACAGAAATACTGTGATATGACCAATCTTATGTCTGATCTGAAACAGTCACACTGTTTCTCCAGGAGCCACCTGAGAATCTTAGCAAGCACATATCTACAACCAAAAAAATTCTGCAGAGGAATCTGGGATAGTCTTGGCAAGTATCTTAACAGATAAAATAGTCAAATCAAACAGTGTTGATTCATAAACAGTGGCTGAATGCGTACTGATGTTCAGGTTAAGCATTTGTCAAGTACAGGTTAAAAAGTTTACAAAACTTCACCTATAGCATCTGGAATGAAAAGGCTGGAAGCCACCTTAAGAACTCATCTAGCCTCTCCCCTACCCAAAGCAGGTTCATACCAATGCCATTCCTGACAGAAATTTGTCTAGTTTTCTTTATATAGGTCTCTAGCGATGGGTATCCTAGGAGCACTAGAATTTCAGTACTCCTCAGAGGCATGATAACAAGAATATTGTAACTCTGGTCTTTTGACCTGTAAATATTCACAAAAGAGTACCAACAGATCCATTTCATGTCCTAAAATGAACGGTTGTTTATGTAGCTTCAGTATAAACTACAAAAAGCAGGGGTCCCTCTTTATTGTATTCTAGATTAGAAGTTTTTGATTGACATCACTGGTCACATAGAAAGGAGCCCAGACTTAAAAAAGAGCT